AATTTACCAATTTATTTGAGATTTCGTATCTCTTCAGTTGTACGGTGTTAGCTTTTATGTATTTTTTGCATAAAATATTTAAAAACAAGTAGGCGAAGTTTTTCTATTATGTCTTCGCTAGCAATATAAAATTTAGCTCCATGTTTGCAAAAAATGTAAAAAATATAAATAGGCGTGTGTGTCATAGATAAAATAAAATTTGTTTTTACAAAATTCCCGAATTCGAGCAGTTTTTTAATTGTCTGCGAAGTTACCGCCTATATAAAAAAATTATTTGTTGAAAAAGGATAGCAAACTGGTATAACGTCAATACGACGCGGAAAATTTGGCGCATAAAATTCGGCGCGGCGACAATTCAGCGCAGCCTCAATTCGGCGCGTATCTATTACAGTTGCAATTTATTATATATTACTTAGTATAAAAAAATAAGGATGATTAAATAGAAATCATTTTGAATGTTGGTCCTATTAATTATTTCTTCATATTTATTTTTACAAGAATCTCAATTTTATTTACTAAATGTATAATATCAAAAAAATTAACAACCAATATTTATACCTATTTCTTTGGTTGACCAATTTACCACATAAGGTATGTTGATTAGTAGCCAATGTTATGTAAGCCGAGATTTTGGGCATAGAAGAAAGAAAGAAAAAGAAAGGTTTGGATCTCTATCATTTTGGCTGGAATTTAAATCGACCGTTTTTAAAAATAGACCCAGCCATGATCCAAAAAAAATCAAATTAAGACTGACTCACTTTTTAGATTTATTAAAAATCCTTAAATTCTATTAATCCTTTTTATAAAAAATATTATGCTTAGGCTAATTTTTTCTATTATATAAATCAAAAATTAAATGTGTAATATCAAAAAAAATTAACAGCCAATATTTATACCTATTTCTTTGGTTGATCAATTTACTACATATGGTATGTTGATTAGTAGCCAATGTTATGTATGCCGAAATTTTGGGCATAGAAGAAAGAAAGAAAAGAAAGGTTTGGACCTCTATCTCAAGTCTTACATATTATTTTGGCTGGAATTTAAATCGACCGTTTTTAAAAATAGACCCAGCCATGATCCAAAAATAATCAAATTAAAACTGACTCACTTTTTAGATTTATTAAAAATCCTTAAATTCTATTAATCCTTTTTATAAAAAATATTATGCTTAGGCTAATTTTTTCTATTATATAAATTAAAAATTAAATGTTTAATATCAAAAAAAATTTACAACCAATGGTTGACCAATTTATCAAAGGTATGTTGATTAGTAGCCAATGTTATGTAAGCTGAGATTTTGGGCATATTACTTATCAGGGGGATATATTTTTAAACTTTTATAATTTTATTTATTTATTTTATTGTCTAAAATTAAGCGTGAAAAGGGGATTTAAGATTTAACATTATGTACTTATCAGGGGGGTATTTTGGGTCTATTTTTAAAAACGGTTGATTAAGATTGTAGCCAAAATAATATATAAGATTAGAGATAGAGATAGAGATAGAGGTCAAATCTTTCTTTTTCTCTCTTCCTTCTATACGCAAAATCTCCAGCTTACATAATATTGGCTGCTAATCAACATACCTTATAATGTGGTAAAATTATCCATTATAGAAATAGGTAAAATGGTCCATTATAGAAATAGATATAAATATTAATTAATTTTTTTCGATATACATTTAGTAAATAAAATTGAGATTTTTGTAAAAATAAATATGAAGAAATAATTAATAATACTAACATTCAAAATGACTTCTATTTAATCATCCTTACATTTTTATACTAAGTAATTTATAATAAATTGCAACTGTAATAGATACGCGCCGAATTATCGCCGCGTTGAATTGACGCTGTGCTGAATTGTCGCCGCGCCCAATTGACGCTGCGCCGAATTTTCGTGCGCTGAATTGTCGCCGCGCTGAATTGTCGTGCGCCGAATTTTCCCTTCCGAATTGACGTGGAACCTAGCAAACTATTACGACCGGGTTCGATCTTTTGCGGGTCCTTTTTGAATACGAAATCTTGGAGGCGTTATCTATGAATAAGAGATAGGGTTGAAAAAAAATGCATCGATATCACCTTTTTTACTGACAGCGATACTGCAACTGATATCAGGCCTGTAACTGATATTTAAAAAATGCATAATAACAACCAAACTTTATTTAAATTCATAAATTCTTCATTAAATTCACCCATTTTTATTTAAATAATTTATAGTTTATAAAAAATTAACAAAAAGTGCTATTATTTTTCACCTAAACACATAAAACTATTCCTAAAGAGTATTCACAAATTTTGAAAAAACTTCTTCAATTTGATAAATAAAAATTGAAAGAATTATTTTTAAAATTGTTGTAACAAATGACTCCAATAATGAAAAAATAAAATTTATTTCGTTCTCTTTTTAGATCTTTCTTTCTTATTCAAATAGTGATTAGAAATTTCGTTTAAAAATGCTCGAGTAAAAAGGAAGATCAATTTTTTTTAAAAAAGTAATAAAAGAAATTCAAAAAAATTAAATATCAATGTGAAAATAATTTATTTATTTAATTTATTAAAGTCCTATGAGCTAATTTTGCACTTGTATATTTCATGACCATTAATAACGCTTAATGAATTAGTTTGTACGAGTTTTATTTTGTATTTAATATTTTTACACATCATTTTTTTAAATATTATGTCTATTTCAAGGCTTGTTTATAATAACATGTTTTATCATTAAATTTTACTCAATTAATCTAACATAAAATAAATTTATATTGAACTCAAATTTTGCAATAAATATAAATTACAACTTGTCACAATAACCCCGTTATATCTTTTTTACATGTATAAATAATTTTTACATTGCGCCTATTTTTAGACAAATTTGTATCATTTATATATTTATGGTGAATTCCATATCAAATCAACCAAGGTTTCAACCCACCCTTCAGGTTTTTAATGTTTGTATATTGGTAGTATATATACCTTATTATACTTTTATAAAATAAAATTTTTATATCATAATTAAATTTATATTAATCACTATTTATACTAATCTCTAATTTTGTCTTTTTATACATTTGTGGTTTTTAAGTTTTCATAAAAATTATAAATTGCCTTGTTCAGTTAATTCAAATAATAATTATAAACTATGTACCGTGTTCAATTGATTCTAATAAAAATCAATTGTAATGTCTGTTTATTTGTTCATGATTAAAGCTAAAAACCACAAATTTAAAAATGAAATGCTATATTTATTAAGAGTCTTTAGTAGAGCAGTAAATTTTTATAGACCCATTGTATTTAAAATTAAAAATAAAGATAAGCTTGGATGGATATGAGGTTGTGAAACAGGGATTTCAGGGTTTCTATTTGCGGTATTTGTCGAGGGATTAGTTAAAAATTTTGACCTAGAAAATTTAACTTTCCTAAATATTTAGAGTAGTGATTAAAAAAATTTTATAAGTTTTTTTTAAATACTGTATAGATATTATATTAATAATCTCCACCTCATTACATAGACTGTTTGATCTAAATGAATAAAGCAGTTAAGAAATCTTTTCTTGATATTAATTTTTAAAATAACTGATTACCTAAGCAATAAATTAGACTATAAAATAGAGAGAAAGACTTCGACTAAATTTGATTAAAATGATAATAATATTTAGAATAGCATAAAATATCTGCATGTCGTAATTATTGGATTTAAAAAAATATTTCTTAGCCCAGTATTATAAAGCCTTAGCAAAGGAAAAAAATTATAAGCTAAATAATGAGTGTTTTTAGATATAAATTTTGGCTGCCAATGAAGCGATAAATTAATATTATTAGCAGCTTTTAGTCACAAAAATATTCAATTAAAATATGGCCGCTTAAGTTATTGAAGGGAGAAATTATAAATAGCTACATATATTAATATTATAAATCCAATTATTTTAAACACAATTTTTTTTTAGAAAAAATGGCCTCGACATTTTTAAAGCGGTGATTAAGATTTTTAGCAGTCATATTAATTGTAGTAATTTTGATTATTTTCAATCGATTTTCGTAGAAAAAAATGACTACCAATGTTTTTGAAGTGAATGATTAATTTTTAGCAGTAAAATTAATTGTCAAATTAATTCATTGTTTTAATCCCAAAACATTTATTTTCATTAAAAAAATGGCCGCCAATGTTATTGAAGCAAGAAATATACGACAGTGGACATTTTACAACGGTTACGACTGTTGTAAAATGACTGTCCATGGTAGTAAAAAATTAATAGAATTAATTTCTAATGGTACACAGGCTCGGATTTTTAAAAATATATTACATTTATTTTTAATCTTTATAGCTAATAATAGCATTTATATTTGGTTTAAAAATACGGCTCAGCCTGGCTCTCGGGTATTTTTTTAAAAAATTTTTTAGGTACGGCCTGACTCGGATATATATAAAAAATTAAAATTAAGCCCAACACGGGTAAAATATTTCAAAATCCCGACACTCATTTCTAAAAAAAATCGTTCAAAATTTGATTGTCAAGACTTTTATCATAAAAATATTTAATTATTTAATTTCTTTCCAGAGATTGTCTAGAAATATTGATTCAAAAACCTTGATATACATTTTTTAAATTAATATAAATAAAATCAAATATTTTAATATTTTTTACTGGATTTTGGAATAAACCGTGAAGGAAAGAAAGAGAGTTTAATTGGTTAGAAATAATTTTTGGTGAGATAATAAATTAATTTAACACGTATTTTAAGTTAATTGAGTAAGTAGATGAACTTCTATTGGGTTTGATTCCACGTGGATTTGTTTTTTTTTCTGAATTTATAATTTTTATACTATGGGATATATACATAGGAGATCTGAAAATATATGATTTAATCAATTAATATATGCTAACACGTTAATAAAAGTAGTCGTTGTTTAGCAAGTATTTTGTAGTCTAATAACATAAAACTTTATTTTCATTTTCAGGCTTAGAATTGGAACCATATGATATTCTAAGACATATGAATGTTTTTGGTTTTTTAAAGACATTTGCTTATTCATTTCCGATTGCAATAACATTTTCAGATATATTTGGTTATATAGCTAGAGTAGAGGGAGCATCTATGCAAGTAATTTCTATTTACCTTGAAGTTAATTAATGTCATATTAGCCTTCATTGAATCCTGACCCAATAGAAAAAGTATACAATTCAGATTTTGTTTTTTTAAATCGCTGGACTGTTAGAAATTACAATATTTGTAAAGGAGAAATAATCGCATTTATGTAATAACTATATTTATAATATTTTACACATGTCATAAATAAATGAATTAACATAGTAATAATTAAATAAAATTTAGCTTTTAAATATATAAGCTTATATCACTTCCTTTATTAAATTACTAGTTGAAAATAGTGCAAGGGTTTAATCTGTAATATTATTTATTTATATTTTAAAGCATAACATAAATTTGTTAGAAATTTTTATCATATATTTATTTGCACATTAAAATACATATGCTTTCATAAAAAATTTAGATGAATTATGTAAATTTTTAGGTTTGCAAGTGCAAAATACCAATTTTAGATAATTTTCAAAGTGTCAGTTGGTATCTTTATCAGCCAATATATTTTTTTTACAGCTAATACAATGGCTGTTACACAAAATAATAACTAACCCTCATAGATTAAAAATGAATTTAATTAGAAATAAAAAATATAAAAATAACAAAATTTCTAAGCAAATAAGAAAGAAATGTTGCTAATTATCTTTTTTTAACACTTTTATTTTATTGTGGAAACTTTTTTATATATTTTTAGAGACCTGCAGAACCATTTGTAGGGCCTGGCGCAGATTAAAAAATTTTCGGCTTGGCCCGGATTTTTTTCAAAAATTTTTTAAGGCTCGGCTTGGGTTTAAAAATTTTAGGCCCGGCCCATATATAAAAAAAAATTTTTTGGGCCCAGCCCGGCCTGTATTTTTTTAAAAAAAAATTTTTTAGGCCTGGCTCGGAATTTTTTAAAATTATATTCGACCTGGTATATACAAAAAATTGATTATTTCGTATTTTATCATATTTTTTGGTGAGTATTATCATTTAATAAGCAAGTATATTAGCTAATGTTGTAAAACGGCTCGTTTTGAGCCAATTTTTAAAAACGGCTAATTCAATATTTTTGCCAGAAAAATATTGACTAAGCCTCGAAATTTCGATACTATATGTCTAGACCTTTGCTCCTTCTAAAGCAAAATTTTCAGGCTTGCATAATATTTTTCTGGATAAAAAAACTGAGTTAACCGTTTTTAAAAATCGGCTCAAAACGAGCCGTTTAACAACACTACATTTTATTTTTTTTAATTCTAAACAGATATTTAGTATATTACAAATTGATACTATAAAAAATTTGTGTAAATATTTTTTTTTTCCGGTCATGGGATACTTTATTTGAATATTTACTGATATGATATGATGTCAAAATATATTAGCAAATAATTAATTTTTTAAAAAGGTAAAATAAATAAAGGTGAAAAATTGTAGAAATATAATTTACGGGAAAGTATAGGGGATAAAAAAAATGAAGCTTGGAAAATGGAAGGTTATTCAATGGAAGAGATTTGTACTATAAAAAAAATAAAAATGATAATTTAATTAATAAAAAATATAATATATATTATTTATTATTTAATCCTTTGCGTATTTATTCCATGGCAGGAAAACTATAATTTTATTATGTAAGCTAGTGTTAACTTTCACAAACATTATATTAATCATAACTATATATAATCATTATAAACAAATCTAATTGACAAATATAATAATTCATGTTGTATAAATTTTTTAAAAAAATACGAAAAAATTTCAGGCCCGGCCCAGGTTTTTTTAAAAAAAAAAAATTTTCAGACCCGGCCCAGGTATATTTTAAAATTTAAAATATGGGCCGGGCTTATTTTAAAATTTAAAATATGGGCCGGGCTTAGGGCCGAGCCTGCAGGTCTCTGATTTTTATAGCTAAAAAAATATATTTGTCTGAATGGAGACTGCATATTAAATCAGTTTTTTAGATTATATTATATAAAATAATTGATATTGTATTGGCTGATGGATTGAAGGTCTGGTCCTAAGTCTAGCCTGGCAGGGTCTGAAAATTTTTTTAAAGAAAAAAACTAGGCCATTCCAGGCTGTATATTTTAAAACCAAATATTTGAAATCGTGATTATTAGCTATAAAAATCAAAAATATATTTTTTAAAAAATCCTGACAGGGCTGGAAATTATTTTTAAGCCATGTTGGGCCGTAAAAATTTTTTTTTAAAAAATCTATATTGGGCCATGCAAATGATACCTTTGTTGGATATATACTAGCAATAATATTAGTTGATTTAGTATTGATATCGGCAATAAAAATATTATTGTTGCATTTCTAATACAAATTAATGCTATAAAGAAATATAGATGGCACTAAATATTTTGATGGTTATAAATTTATTTTAAAATGAATGTATTAAATATTATTTTTTAGTTTTCAGACTTATTTATACATTTATTATATATCATCAGATTATTATGTTATTTTTATTTATAATATTTAAATTCGACGTTTTATCTCCTAGCAAGTAGTAATAACCAGAAATGTATCAAATAAGTTTATTGATACATATGGCTAAGCCATATATATTTATAATTATTATACAAAGCTAGTTTTCTTCTCAATTTATCTAGAAATTTAAAATTAAAAAAATTATCCATAATACAAATATAAATTAAGATATTATTGTTATTGTAGTACATTTCAAAACTTTTTAATAAATTTTAACTGCTCGGATACATCCCGAACGAATTTTTTTATTTGTTCCGAAAAGCCCGATCCGCAATGAATATAATTATTATTTGTTGGTCCGGCCTGAATTTATTTAAATATAGAAAAATTTAATATTTTTTTTACATAACAAATAAAAAATATTTGCAAGAATATTAAATTATATATCAATTTATTTGACAAAATGTAATGATATCATATTTAAAAATTTAAGCCCGATCCAGCCCACCAGATATTTTTTAAATATATTAGCTCGACCCAGCCCGAATCGAAAAAACGGCGGGCCATCGTTTGCAGAACTATGTTTTTTACTCAATATTTTGACATTTGCCCAAAATCTAATCAGATTTTGATTTAATTATGAAGATTTTTTGAGAATGCTAAATTAAAACAAAATTTTTGATCAATTTTACCTAAATTTCCAATTTCTTTAAAAATGTCTATTATAAGTAGTTTGTGATTTTTATGCATAAAAAATCTCTCTATATGAAATTTGTATTTAATTTTGTTGATTTTCAAATATATTTTGAGAATGCTCAATTAAATAAAATTTTTGACCAAATTTTACCTAAATTTCCCATTTCTTTAAAAATGTCTATTATATAAGTAGTTTGTGATTTTTATGCATAAAAAATATCTCTTGATGAAATATGTGTTCAATTTTCATAGATTTTTCTAAAAATTTTGGGCAAAAGAAATCTTTAACTTTTGATTTTTTTTATTAAACCCTGGTCTCACCATAATTTGTTTGAACTATTCAAATCAACTCAAACATCAATAAATTTGAATTTTTAAATATCACTGGTAATCATAATCTCCAATCATTTGATTTTGCAGCGAAATCTTTCTTTTTACAGACGGAAACAATTTTTGACTATGCTCTCACACATAAAGCATATTTTTTTTATTCATTTTTTCCTTCGCTATTATATGCTTTAAAAATATCCGTGCTTTCAAATCAATGTCGAGCATATGATAATAAAATCAATTATGCTATTTAGATCTTTCTTGACTTTGCTACATAGTGGTAAATCAGATTTTATTTCGCAACCCCTTTAAAAATGGCTGGGACCCCCCCCCCCCCGATATCGCAGTTTTTTTTAAACCTAAACTAAATGCAGCACTTTCTTCTCAGTTGTAAAATTTTAAAAGTTATATAATTTGAATATCATTTATTCATGGGCTTGAGTATTAGTTTAGCTCCCAATTATCTGATTATTGTTCAATCACAGCGAAACTAATTTGATTTTACTTTCGCATTTTTATATACTATTTTTAACATTTAGTCTACGATTTTTGCAGTTATGATAGCTTATGAGAATTTAAGATGAACTCACTTTATATACCCAATGTTTTATATTTTAATGTAAATATAAAAAAAAGGCGTTTAGGATGTAATTTTGATTTAATAAATAGAATTTATAAATAAAATGAATATGAATCAATCTTGCTAATCGATATTATTATAAATTGCATTTTTATTTATATCGAGCCCTACCTCATTCCCCCAAAACAGGCAACTTAAATACGCCACTGAGGCTATACTAACTGCTGCTGGAGATCGCCTTATCAGTCCTCGTTTATAGAAACCGCGATTTCGCTTAAGCGATGCTTAATTTACAATATTCACTGTGTTAAATTAAATAGCTAAGCTATTGTTTAGCGATAATTACGGTCTTAATATAAGGTTTCAATCGCGTCATATCTTGAGCAGCCAGATGATAATGGCCCAACAAACTGATTTACTACCGAAAAAAGCCTATGAAAACTTGGCAAGAGTTTATCCATCATCTAATTTTAATATAACGACGGATTTAAACACGTATATCCTGGTTCGGTACTCAATTTGGGACCCAATACATCTCTATTTAAAATGATGCGAATAGGCTTTTCTTTTACAAATCCTTGAATAACATCATTTTATACTTCCCTTGTAATATAATTATTTTTCCCATTTCACCTCTTGTAAATATATTTTATGTATCTAATATTAATAAAAAGCCATCATTTTGTTTCACATTTATGTGAAATGCAATAATACCTACAGTTGGAATAGAACCTGCTACTAAGTATTACAACTGGATAGGTTGCTTACCATTAAGCCCTCACGGGTTAAAATTTGTGTTTTTTTAATCTATTTTATGTTTTACAAGCTAATTTATATGGATTATGAACTTCTATTGACCATTTTATTATCAGCATTTGCAAATTATTTTTCATAATTATATAACGAGCTACAACTTTTGAAAAATTTTCAAACAAGCAAGGAAACGGCAATACGAGATAGGTCTTATTTCTTCAATATCCTCAACAATAGTTTTGTCAAACAACCCGATTTGGGTCCATTTTTAAAAACATCCCGATTGAGGTTTTAGCCAAAATAATATTGTTCAAGCCTTGAGATTTGGCAAATCGAGGTCCAAGCTTTTGTGCCATTTAAGAGAAAAATTTCCAAGCTTAAATAATTGTATTTTGGGTAAAGTCTTAATCGGCCGTTTAACAGCACTACTCAACAGTAATTACTATCTTATACTTTTGATATATACCTTCATCAATCATTTAAAAAAATTTCAATATAAAATTTGAAGTTTTTTTGGTAAGTTAATTAATTTTTCAAAAGCCATATAATTTGATAAAATATTTTTCTTTAATTTTACGAAATTATATCATGAGATTCATGTTTCTTAAGTAATTATTGATTCGATATTAAATTTTTTTTTGAGAAGTAGCGTAAATCATAATAAACCATTTTTCTACTATTTCAATAGCTATAATTTAGAAACGAGCTATAAATATTCTCTTAAAATATTTTCAGTATTAATTGCCCCTTTTCCAGCTTCTAATGCATTGCCGTTACTAGGTGTAAAGTGTTAAAAGCTTTCATAAAATATGAAAATTGATTTGTATCAAAAAACAAAGGTAATCCCATTGTGAATAGCGTTTACTACATCTGATTCTGATACTAATTAATCTATTTTAACCACATTTTTAATCTAAAAATATATGGTTGTTTTTTTTGATTTTCCATACCAAGATCTTCATAGTAACCAAATGAATCTGAACATTAGTCTTCAATTGATTTCATTATAAGCTTAAAAATATATAAACTTTTCAGTTCATAAAAAATTTTAATAAGAGTATGCTATTGTCAATCTTCTTACAATTTATAATTATTATATTTTATTATCTTATAAAGTTTATTATTTTAATCTATAATTCAATGGAACATAATTTCCCTATTATCTTAAACAACAATTCAATGAAACATAAATAAGCGAATTTTATCAATTATATGCCCGACCCAAAGTATACTTAAAATATTAAAATGTAATTAAAAAAAGATTCAGTTAGTGGGTGCTAAAGTGCATTTTATATTTTAGAAAAATTGTTTAGATTTGGAAATAAGTGGTTGATATAAATATGAACAATTATTGATTTCTTTCAGGTTTTCGCTTATAAAATCTAATTTTTTATTAAAAACTTGCAAAAACACTTTGTCTACTGTATTTATTCAAAATCATTTTAAAAAATTTATTTTACGATCAATGTCTTTATGTAAAACATTATCCAATAAAAGATATTTTTAAAAATATTAAAATTTGACCTCTCAGTTGTCTTATAACTAAATTAGAAGATGGGAATTAGAAAGACACATCCAGCTGACCTTTTGATATTTATTTTAGGAGTAATCCTTAAAAATATATTATTCTAATTTCAAGATATTTCTTTACCACATTTCTCAAGAAAAATGTGACCCACTTTTAATCCTATGGCCGGCTGAGTATTATAATGTTATATATCCACTTTTTTTTGCAAAATACATTTTTCCCTGCTATTTTTCCATATCACCAATAAAAATATTAAATATAATTTGCAATAATCCTTTATTTAAATTATTATGATGTGATCTATTATCTAAACTGCAAGAAAAATTTTCCTTAAAACGCTCCTGAAAATTTATAAAAAATGGATTTATAGACCACTATAATATGCAGCCGACGCTATTTTATACTCTTACATTTCCAATTCAAACATACATATTTTTGTTAATATCCAGTATATCGATTTTTAAATATGACCCGATAAAGATTTTAGCCAAAATATATGTAAGCTTAGAGATTTTGCTCATAGGTGGCAAAAAGGTTTGGTTTTCTATTTGCTGAATCTCGAGGCTTATCTCAACATTATTTTGGCTAAAATATTAATTGGTTTTAAAAATCGACTCAAATCGGGCCGTTTAGAAAACAATAATATCGAATAATAAGTAATTTATTTATTATCTTTCGAGCTAAATTTTAAACTGTTTTATTGTACGGTTTAGGGATTAAAAAATTTTTCCTAAGGCATATACACATCAAATTTAATATGTGAAATCCCATGGCGGAATCGCAATTTTATAGGGGTTCACTGATAAATATTTGGAATATAATAATGGAATTGGCATTTTTTTTTAAAAAAATTTCGGTGATTTTAAAATGCTGATAACCGGTGCCGACCCTCTGATGGACCTGCTTTACCGCTCAGCGACGTTTTTTAAAACCTTATTACTTCAAATCAAGGCTGAAATAATTTTTGTTTCGTTTTCGTCAGAACTCGTTAAACTTTTTAATCGGTCGTTTCAAATAGAAACTAATTTAACCTATCTCATTTAACTTCTTTGTTTTTAATTTTTTATTATGGTTCAGGTCGCAGTATTATACCATAAGATAAGTGGTCTGCAATAGATGGGTTTTTAACACGCTAATCATTCTGCTAAATTTTGCTAAGCCCACCCACCCAATGTTAAAAATTTATGATTGGCTTATTTGGTTCATTAATTATTATTTTATTTTAAACTTATAAATTATGCAACCTACTAATAAAAAAATTAATTTTTAAAAAGAAATATAAGCCCGTCCTTCTTATTTCCTCAGTATAATATCTCAAATTTACTCTCCCGCCAGTTGTTTCAAAGAGTCTTTTACCCACCCCCTAAAAAAATTTGTCCACCTATATTATGGATATAAATACCCGCCCATTGCACAACTCTGCCATAGGGTTATCATGTTAGATAGAGCTCTAATTTAAATTTAACGTAGGTCATAGTTGCTAGCTACACATGACTGAAAGTATATTCCAAAGATTTGATGTTCACATGGAGGAATTTAATATTAAAAAATCATTTTAGAAAATAATGGATCGCGGACATTCTCTTCATCTTAGGTCCGCCTACATTTGAATCAGTCATTAGTAGCCTTACAATTTTAAAAAATTCCATTGCATTACTAAAGTATGAAATAAATTTAATCTTATAAAATGGACCCCCCTCATAAACATATTACTATAAATCAGAGTTTTTAAATCTTCAAAAATATTTTGAGCAAAAATCTCTGAAGATTTTTTTTGAAAAACCATAATTTTTTGATCATATTTTGACTTAAAATGCCCTTTTTTGTAAAAATAATTCTTTTGTGGATTAAATATTTTTTTAAAATTCTTCTAGAAATAGTATTCATATATTCATAATTATAATGTAATTATCAGGTAGTATACTCGTTTTTCATTTGCTATTATTACTAACGCAATTCCAAATTCTTCATGAGTATTAAACATAATTACTGTATAATTTAATTAACAATTTTTTTTTAGACAAAAATATTTCTATCACAATTTGTTAAATACTTGAATGATAATAGTTATCACGTTATCAATGGTTTATAAACATTTAAATGACATCGCTTAATTAGAGGTCTACGCGAATATCTTTTGCTACCTGTATCCATGGAAACACATTTTGATTTGGGCACGATCAACTCTAACCCTTCATATCGACTCATAGTATCACCATGCTTAATATCGAATAATTTATCGCCCTCATTTTCGATTAAGTCAAGTTTCCGACAATTTTCGCTATTCGGGACTTTTGATATAAATTTTTCTTTTTGGGCTCCCTCGTTCTCGTGGGATTGTTCTTCGTCGAAGTTAACGTTGGCGAAACTGTAATTAGGCCTAACGCGTTCGCGTTTGATATCAGGTGCCCTATATTGGTATCTTTTTTTCCATCTTGTAATGGTGTAAGATATTCTGACTAGACATAGGATCATTATGCACAAAAGCGCCGCGAATAATAGAATAACGAGATTCATTAAAGAGTGGCCAACTTTTAGATTTACGTTGCTACCGTTTCCTCGCCCATACGTATTTACATGTTTATCTTCCGTTTTGGCTATTATGCAATCAAGTGGTTTCGAATGCCTGATTTTTATCAAGCAATTTATTACGCATATGATGTAAAGTGTATTCCTTGTCAAGTTATTGATGGAACTTATACCAGTAAATAAATTATCTTCGTACTTGATCGTCCGTCGAGGAACATAGAACGAGCTGAAGCTCGCCCCGTAAGAGATCGGAGGGTGAAACCATTCCGAATGATCTGATAAGGGGTGTAACGGAAGAAATGATTCGACACTTTTATTTTTGAAAATATTTTTTAGCGCTTCCGATTTATTATGATAATGCTCCTTATCGAATTTCTCATAAATTATTCCGTAACAAAAACTTTGCTCGTCCTCGTTTTCGTTAAAAATGTTGTACGAGTAGGGGTTACGGCTCCCTTGAATATCACTATTAAAGATAAAATCGGTATGATCGTTCTCCTTATTTATCCTCGAGGCGTTCCACGAAATAATAATCGTTTTAGAGGATACTACTTTTAAGGATAAGTCAAATTTTACTCGCGTCACATATAGTTGGTAGATTAAGGAATTTTGTTCCGTAGTTTGCCGCATATTAATATTATCTCCATTAACAACACTTAATAAATCTGATATTTGACCACTATTTTTGGTCGAGCAAATGTAATATCCCGCTTGGGAAACCATTATATTTTTTAAGTATAAATCTCCGTTAGGTAAGGCTATAACATTCTGATTATTACGCCCCATATTATTTACTACATTCTTATTATCAAGTGCTTGCTGATGCGAAAAATTTTCATTATCGTACTTTTTGGATAATGTCTTATCCTTTTTGCCCTCGTATATTTTCCAATATACTGACAAAATCATCTTCTCAGGATCTATGGAGTCTATTTTGGTCTTGCTTCTGCACATCAATCGGATCGACTGCCCCTCCATGACGGTGATCTTTGTATTTTTATACATAACGTTTTCATCATCCATTAAGGGATCCGGATAAATGATTTTTGGGCGACACCTGTCATATATATCTCTCATTCGGGATTCGTTTTCGAATGCCAATATGGAGCATAGTGTTAGTCCTTTTAATTTTTCGGGCTTGCGGCATATCATTTTATCAACTTCGTCGAATAATACGCCGTAATTGAGTTGGATTCGTTGGCGCAATCTATCTTCGCATTCTATCGATTTATGCGCGTCTTCGATTCGGCTTACCACCTCGTTAAATTGCTTGTTGTCATTTGACACTTTTTGAGATTGGTTTGTCTTAAAATAATTCCTTACGAATAACCACATCATGTGGCAATCGCATGTTATAGGGTTTCCGTAAAAAGAAATTTCTTTTATTAGCGGATACACCTTTCGCGAAACGATTCGCTCGTCTAAATAGCTAAGCATGTTGTTATGCAATCGTAAAATCGTTAAATTTGGGGCCTCGTTCTCCCACGCAAACGCGTCAAAATAAATTAAGTTTGGATTATCGTGAATTTCTAGTTCGAATAGCCGAGGTAGGTTTTTGAACGTCTAATATTGAAAAACATCTTATAAAAAATTGTCTTTATAGCAGTGGCTTAGCTACGAGGGGGGTAAAATATTAAGATTCTATATGACACCCTTCCCAAAATGAAGAAATTTAATGGATATATTTTTTTTGCTATACTCAAAATTTTAAAGAAGCCGGTCATTTTGATTCAATATATTTGATAAAACTATAGAGGTATATGAAAAACATTAAAGAAAAAATTCCATCATTTTTTTAAGTATAAAAAAATAGGGGAAAAATTAATTGTCTTATTTAAAAATCAGAAGTTAATTTTATAATCTGTCGTAACCAATGATGTATATATGTTAGCGTCAATGTGTTTTTTCCGATATGTTATTTTTTCAACTTTAAATCATTTTTTGAGCGCGTTTTTTAAATTTAAAAATCGGAAATGTATTTTAGCATGTTTAGAATACCTCTCTTATGAATTGTAGATAATTTTGTCTTTAATCTTTGAGCCATTTATAATTTATATAAAAAATCTATGGAGAAATTAATATAAATTATAATAAATTCAAAATTTCATGGCGAAATTGTCTGAAATTTATAGTAGGTATTCCAAACATGATAGAATACATTTCCAAAACGCACTCAAAAAATGATTTATAGTTGAAAAAATAGCACATTGCCGGAAAAAAGACATTGGCGCTAACATATATGCTACTAAATTGGCTATTCATTTATTAAATGCATTTAAAAATGGCCATACAGAAATCAGTGGTAGTGTCATTTTGTGGTTTATATTGATTAAATGATATTAATTTGCATTCATATAATGCTAAATAAGACAATTAATCGGAGTGCAAATCACAAAATGGCACCACAGCTGACTCTTATATATAGACACTTTGAATCGCCAATCAAATAGGATATATACATCATTGGTCCTAAAAAAAAATTTATGATTTCATCTTGAAAATTTTTTTTATTTATGAAAATTACAAAAAAAATTACTTATAAAAGATTTTGACATTTTGGAATGAAATTTGATTAAAAATCTCTTTTTTTAAAAAAATCTGAAATTTTTTCTAAGACCAGTTTTGAAAACAACATTTTTTGCTTCCTTTTATAAAATACGGTTAACTTTACATTTCCTTTAAACTCTTTTTATGTAATTCGTTTCTTAAAAATATTAATTTTCCGAGAATTTATTATCGGCGACATTATAACGAATGCATTACCTCGAAGGAAATTGCTTTTTTAAAAAATATTTGTGTGATATAGAACTTTAATTTAATTGGTGGAAATTTTTTTTAAAGAAATTTGGTAGTATAAAACGGCATTAATTATAAACCATTTTTTTAAATATTAAATTATAAGCCCAACCTATATTGCGGTGAAATCAGGCAGATACTTAGGGCTGCGCGCGCATAAGGAACTCTACGTCTAATATCAAATTCGAAAATGAATTCAAGATAATGCATGGCTATAATTTTTTCGCTTCAAAAATATCTATAATATTTTTATTGGGAATTTTTTTACATTTTTTTTTGAGGGATGTTGAATTTGTTATAATAATATTACCTTGAAGTCAATCATCTCCAAAACCTCATTATAACTGATACTTAAGAACGTCAGTGATAAAAGATCACGAAAATCCCCTGTTTTCAATTTATTGAAAGCATTATCATCGAACCAGAGGTATTTCAATTTTCCCATTTTTGTCAAAGCGTATATCGGCACCTTTTCGAATCGATTTCCAGTTAGATTGAGGACGCGTAAATTTTTTAGCCCCGTTTCATCGTCTCTGAGCTTGAATATTTTGTTGTCTAAATATAAAATAAATACTAAAATGAAAAAAAAGAAGGCATTTAGATTTTGAATAAATTAATTTTTTAAAAATCGTATTTAGGGATTATTGATTAACTAATTAGCATTAATTGTTTTTTTTCCAGGATTGGAATTATTAATTGATTATAATATTTCTTACTTAAAAAAATTTTAAATCTCTGGAGATTTTAATTTTTCCAAAAATAACCTTTACAATTTATATTTTTTTATTTTTTGTAAACGAACAAATGAAGTTTTTTTTCGCGAGGGACTTACATGCCATGGATAATGTTTTCAGATTTTTAACGTGAGAAAAGGCGAATTTATCGATGTAAAAAATATGATTGTAATCGATAGATAATTCGTACAAAAGGGGCGTGTTGAGGAACCACACGGATCCGTCGACGTTTTCGATGGCGTTGTTGCTCAGGTCCAATTTCCTCAAATTATGCAGGTCCCGGAAACTTTTGGAGTCTACGGTTGAGATATTGTTGCGGGATAGATCTAATATTTCTAGCTTTTTCAACCCGCTAAAATAAAATCGAGTTATTCTTTGGAGTTTGTTTTTGCTTATGGTTAAAGTACGCAATTCTTTTAAATGAGCAAAGGGCGTTAAACTAAGGTCCACCCCTTCAATTGTATCATGAAATTTATAAGGGAATATTGAATACTTTTCAAAACTGCCCAACTTATTTTGCGATAAATCTAATGATTTCAATCGTGCGAAAATGGATAAATGCTTTTGCCAATCAGATATTTCTACGTTTTCGTTAGTCAATCTATTGTTAGCGAGTGTCACCTTTTCCACATAATCGGGATCCCAGAATTTAATGGCCGCTCGTTTATATTCCTCCTCGACTGTTATATTCGCGAAATCCCCATTTTTGTCCAAATTTTTAGCCGCGATAATCCTGGAATCAAATGGATCGTTGGTGAATTCGGGAAGATTTTTCAAGCTTTTCTTCGCGCAATTGATAGTTATACCTATGAACCAAGGGTATTTAGACACTTTGTTGCTACTCCCTTTTTTCTTGATCGAATTTTCCTTATAAGAAGCCCATTCTCCAAAAGGGCCATGCACGTTGCTGATCATGTATAGGCACCCGCATATTTTATAGCATGTCGTTTCGAATTGCTCGATGGAGGAGGAAGTAAAAAGGCGTTTTGATGTTTTATCCCGTATAAAATTCGAATAATTTATGGGTGATGAGATCATGGAGATCGGTCTTGTATTGACCACAATGATTGTCGCTGCTAAAATTGAATTATAGGAATAATATTGACCATGAATTCTCATTTTTTTTAAATTTAATTTTTTTACATAGGTAAATGGTTTTTTTAAATAAAAAAGAGACCCTTGATACTGTTTTTTTTCCTCTATTTTTTTATTTTTTTTACAAAAATAGGTCTTCTATTTATTATTAAATATCGATTTTTATATTTTTGATTAAATTTCGATTAAAGACTTATTGTAAAAAAAAAGCAAAAAAAAATTTTCTTAATGAATAAATCACGAAAGCTAATATTATTTAAAATCATAAAAAGGGGTTGTCTTTATTTTTTTGAACTCCTTAAGTCTAATACAGTAAAACCTGTCTATTTTGGGTACCAATGGGAGAAAGATTTTTGGCCAACTTAGACAGTTGCCCAATTTATTAAGACTAATTTAGTATTTATAATAGGAATTTTATTGGGACTAATTTTGGTCAAATTAGTGAGTTGCCCGAATTATTAAGAGCCTAAATTATACAGGTTTTACTATATCAATTGTTTTTAATATATTATGGAATATAAATATAATATTATAAGTTTTATTAGTGGTCAATTAAAAAAAAAATTTTTGAATTGATTTATAAAATATATTATTAATTCTTCGAAGATTGAGCTATAAATATCTATATAAAAAAACTTCTTTTTTTGCAAGATAAAATTCAATATTTTATACGTGATGGCGAAGGACATGGGGGCTTTGTAGTAAACGCGTTATCCTGAAGCGTTGCATAGATGGCAGAAAGGTTTGGACTCCTATTTTCTAAATCGAGGCTCTTACAGAATATTATTTTGGCTAAAATCAATCGGGTCGTTTAAATCAATCCAAACCCTATTTTTTCACAACACTGCCCAAGGGTCTTACAATTTTTATTAATTAACTGGACTCATACATAGTCCGATAGCTCATTTTATCTAGGATTTTTTTTCAATACCACGGATATTTTTCTTTATAAATAAATATGTGATTAAATAGTTACGGAGGACCTGGGATCATGCGATCCCTAAAAGACCAAACTGAAATGAAATCAAAATTATGGATAAATCTTAATAAATACATCATATAAGAAACATTATAAAAATATATTAAGGTATTTTCAAGGCATTTTTAAAAAGTGTACAAAAATTAGATATTTATTAATATTAATGTCGGATTTTATTAAGTTCAAAGTGGATTTTTATATAGTTAGTGGCAATGTGCTTTTTCCGGTAATGTGTTGTTATTTCAACTTTAAATCATTGTTTGAGCATGTTTTTTAAATTTAAAAATCTACCGGAAATATATTCCAGCATGTTTAGAATACATTCTGAATTGTTACAATTTTGTCACTAACCTTTGAGTCATTTATAATTTGTGTTTTATTAATATATATAATTCATATTTCAAATTTAATTATAATATAAGGAGGTGGGGGTGTAAAGCGTGCACTTTTGAAACCGAGGTTTGTGGTTTGATACTGGTAGATTGCAAAAAAATTAACATTACACTATATAGTCTCTCCTTAAATTTTAATACATTAAGATGATACGAAAACGATCATGTTTTGATTAGAGATTATTTATATTAGATATAAAAAAAAATCTATGGAAATATTAATATAAATGATATGAAGTTCAAGTAACGAAATTATCTGAAATAATACACATCCGGTAAAATCAAATTTTTAAATTTAATAATGATTATAAGTTCAAAAATAACGCATTGCAAAAAACAGGTTAAATTTTAGTATAATTAAGACTTAAGCCAAACATGTTGGCTCATAGCTACTAATGCTTCATCTTTCAGGCCCTTTATTATATTATATTTAAATGTGATCTAAAATAAAATAAATTTTATAGCTGCATTTGCATTAATATAGATATATATTCTGGCAAAAAATTTAGGTATTAGTTTAATATTCAAAGCCTAATGCTCACAAGAACCCCTTGCTTAATATCTATGGGGCTAACCTAGTTAATATTTTGCAATTTATAGGACTTTTAAGTCAAGTTACAACATCATTTTTCCAAACTATGAACACTATTATTTTTATTTTAATAACATAATCTAAGCTATTTCCACTGTTATTTAATATGTATTATCATATTTTTTTAAAATAAAATTTAAATGATAAATTGGGTTTACATTTATTATATTGCAAGATTTATATTTTAAAAAAACGTCTTAGTATATATTAGATACAAACATTATCTATTTAATATGATAATTTTATGTTAATTCATAAACCACGATTGTTCAAAATTCGTAAGATTAAACCGATTCAAAAAAATATATTCTCCCTCTCCTCGCCTCTTAATAAAAAAAAGTACAATTTTTTTCATTATTTCTTATATATAAAAGATATATTTTAAAGAGAAATTTGATATTAACTTCCATTTTATATTACATTTATTTATGGCTTAGCAATTTGCCACGCGTAAAAATTGGAAATCTGCAAGCCCTGACTATTGGCCGTAAAATTTAATTAAAAAATAAACTTGCGTGGGTCCTAAAAATAATCTCTGGTAGTACCTACTATTGATCGTTTGCGTTTACCCGTGTTTTTTAATTTAAAAAAAACGTAATGCATCACTTGAAATTGAGGTTGCCATTTTTATTAGTTCATCGATTCAAAATTTCAACCTAGGCTTTGTCCTAAATATAAAAAATATATTTCATAAACTTTCATAACTATAACGAAATTTTAATGAATTATATAATAACGATCATTATTTATTTTTATTTATTTTGCTTAAATTTTTAGCTCGCCTAGAAATCCCAACCAAAAATTGATTAAACGCGTAATAGGAATTGAAAACGAAATTATACAGTAATATTTAAAGTTTTTTTTCCTTTTCGATTTTGACTATTTTCCCGATTTTTTTTAAGACGAAAATGAAAAAGATATAATTAGCTGATAAGAGGTCACACCAAGAATGATTTTTAATGAAGAATTAATATATCTTGGTTTTTGGTGAAATTTGGAAACCATTCTGGATTTCCTGACCTTATCTATTTAAATTTACATTGTAGATTTAACATTTATGAGCAATTATGTTTAATACGAGTATACATATAAAATGTCATTAAACGCAAGAACTAGTTTTTGTGTTTGATATTGTTTTTATTTATTTAAATTACAAAGATTATATACAATTTTCTAATTGCCCAACCCGAACTAAAGACCGTTTTCAAAAATCGAACCGAAAGGTAGAATCGTTTCTAAAGATGAAATAACCGTGATTCGGTTTAAACTGCTGTGGCGAAACCTATAAAACTTGATCTTTGATCTTCATAATTTAAAAAAAAAGTAATCACTCGACTTTTAAAGGATTTATATTAAATTTAAAAAATTATATTTTTTCAATAAATTTTGCTGGTTTGAAGGAAACCCCCTTACCCCAATTATAATTAAATTAATTGGACTCTAAATGATACGCCCAAATAATATATTACAGCTTACTCTTGATTTTTAAACAATGTTTTTTGTTGAATTAAATTAAATAGATTTACCTACCTATGTAATGTATAATCGTAATTTCAATAAGATAATGAAAAAAATATGCTTAATAGTGCGATCTAATTGAGCGTTTTCAAGCGTTTTTATTAATTTGTATAAATTGTTATCAATTTACACGATACCATTTTAATTGTATTGTTTGCGTTTTGAATAACGAGACGCAAATGCTCAATTAAGTCTTACACAAATAAGAATATTGAAATATTCAATATTATGTTTTTTTTCTCTAGACTATACACAATACTATCTTTTCTTTAAATTTTTTTACTCTTAGAAAAAATAATAATTGGTTTTTAAGTTTTTTTTTAAATTATACATTTAAAAATAAAATGTAAGGCTATGTCCAAAGTAGCAAAAAAAAAATGTATTAAAAAAAACTATATCGAAAAACACGAAATAAGCCATATTTTTTAAAAAATACAAATATAGCCAAAATATATTTGTGAAATTTTCAAAACTTTATCACTACCATTAGGTTCGCCTTAAAAAAAATTTTTTGAGAACATAACAACCTAATATATACTTTGTTTAATATTTTAAAAAGAACACCACTTTACAAAAGCACGATAATAAAAATACCAATTGGTCATTGTTGGGTCGAAGGTGACAATAAATTTAATAGCTTTGACAGCAATACCTTCGGACCGGTAAATAATATTAGCTTCCGAAATTCTTATATATTTTTTAAGATATGTATTAATATTAATACCACTTTTTAATCAACACTGATACACTCCGATGCCAATTTAAGTTATTAGTTAATAAGTGATAACACCTTTTACCTATACCAAAAAAAAATTAAATTATTATTATGTCAGTGTTGTAAAAATAATATTGCCTTCTTTTGAAGATCAATTTTTTTTACAATTGCGATTTAAAAAAAACACCCATTGCCTTCTGGCGAAATAAATATTTGGACAAATTTTTTTAGAATTTTATTATGTTATAAATTTTTTAAAAACTGGGAAAAAATGGATTTTTGAAAAGCGAAGATAGAACCTTGTAGTCATACTACATTAAGAATGAGGAAAAATAAACTGTTTTAGGTTATATGTCCATAGGTAAAACTAAAAATATCTAAAAAATTAAATCTTTGTTATTTCAAAATTACAAAATGTTGTTTGTAGATGGATGTTGTAGCGCCCTAACAAAATGTTAAACCCCGAAAAATATCACCCTATAATATAATTGATATTATAATTTATAAAAACGCTCCTTTTTTTAATCAATAATGTATGATGCTATACTTTATATATGTTTCGAAAAATCGTTTATAATCAATAATTAATCATAATACTTATTGGGCATATTTTTTTTTAACAAAATTATCGTTGTTTGAAGGGGGGGAGGGGGGTAATTCTAACTTGTAATTTTAGTCAAATTTTTTCTAATGAGCAAAATTTTAGGCTTGCGTAATAGTTTTATGGATAAAATATTGAATTAGCCATTTTTAAAAAATCGGCTATTTTTTCAAAAGATAAATAAAACTGAAATGTGCGGTTTTAGTTCCAGATAGGGTGATTCTAACTTTGATTCCTAAATTTGACTTGGTTTCCGATTTCTTTCCAAACTGTTGTTTATAATAGACATCCGCAAATGGCGAAATTTTTACGTCCGACCCGGTCCCTGCTGGTTTTCAATTTTCTTTACTAAGGTTGCCTGTTCGGGTTTTTAGGTCTAACCAGAAATATACGTTGTTGAACACTAAAATAAACAACTATTTTCTAATATTGTGTAAATGGTTACATTAAAAAGACTACATTTTATTATGGAATATCATTAATATCAAATATCAGAATTCATCAATAATCCAGCCAATGATTTTTTTTGCCCGGCTCGCCCTATCGATATATTCCCCGGCCTCCAAATAAATTATTTTTCGAACGGGTCGGGAAATGCTCACCTCTAGTTTATAAGCAAGATTTTACCAAAAATTTAAACATCATTAAATAAACCCTCCAAATAAATCACATTAAAAAAAAATTTTAAAAATATATTTCTGGAAATTTTGAAACGAGTTCTTCATAAATTATAAGAGGCCGCTGTGGCTCTTAGATTTGTCTGGTTCTAGTTCCAAATTCTTGTTTTATTTTTTACAAAATATCTTCAATTCCAACCCATATGCGTTTTCTTTCAATCTTTAAAATTATTAAAATAAGGTTAATTAAGCGGTCAAAATATTATATTTTTTGTAGTGTTGTTAAAAAGATAGGTCGATTTTTAAAAACAGTCCAATTAAGATTTTAGCCAAATAACAAATAGACATCCCTTTCTGCCATCTATGAGAAGAAAGATCTCCAGGTATTACATAATATTATTTTGACTAATTAATCGGGCCGTTTTTAAAAATTAACCCACGGGCTTTTTAACAAACTATATTTTTGGAATTATTTATCCCATATTTAGGGAAATGCAATTTCCTTATTATAACTTTTCAAGATTCCTATAGGTCTTGTTACTAGTAAAGCTACCTACATAATTTGGCCACCTGCACGTTGGCAAAAACTTGTCCCTCAATCAATATCACCCGACAGGCAAGCCTCAAAATTGGCACTTTGGAGGAATTTATTTTAGTTACAATATCAACAGGTTATAAATTTAAGAGTATTCATTTACATATTTTATTTCTCCACAATTTAGGGAATAAATGTGATTAATTTTCTCCTTTTTTATAACAAAAACTTTATATGGTCTTTAATTTCTAATCTAATTTATTTCGAAGTGTTTAATTAAATCGCCATTATATATACACAAAAAAAAATGACCAAATATAAAATATCTATGCATTGTTTATTGCCATCATACTATTGACAATTATGTTAGTCATTTTATTACCGAATATTATTTTCTTTCTGGTAAAAATAATTTGTAATGGACCAAAAAGAACCTTGAAAAAAAAGTGATAGTTATACTTATATTATTTAAAAAAAATAGCTATTCATTTTCTTTTTTAAATCTTCAATTAATATATTTTTATTTTATATGAGGAACATTATTTTTTTAATAATTAAAAGATTAAGTTGTATCTTATTTTGTATTTTTAAAAAACCAGGGCCGTAGCCACGGGGGGGGCACGGGGGGGGGGGGCCAATTTATAATATATTCTGTGATTATGATCAAATTTAGAGGATTTGTAAACCAGCGCCTGAAAATTTTTGAAAAGATTTTTGGCCCGTTCTTTCCATTTAAAATGAAATTTTGGAATTGTGAAAATTAGAATTTGCACTGTATGCTTTTGGAGCAAAGCCTTAGCCCACATGAAACCTTGGCCCCAAATTTAGTATAATTTCTGATTTATTATTTAAGATTAATCTTTTTAATTTGCATATTTATGTTGCAAGAAATTAAGAGAAAAACAAATCAGCTTGTGCTTAAAAATAAATTAATTTAAAGTAACCAAAAAGAAAGAGGGTTTTTTTAAAAAAAATTATATTCTTTATTTTTGATGGGTTTAGGATGGATTAAAAACGCCTATAAAACGAATTTTCTTTCTCCATTCATTCGTTTCATGTCATATCCTATTTCAGCCTTGAAATCTAAATTTGTTAACATCGACTAAGCCATTTATTGGAATCTATTTTTTTTTTAAAAAATCTCTTCAATTAATTTAGCTAAATTTTTTAGATTTTGAAGGCCATTTTTATGAGATAAGACCAAACTGTAAAAAAATCATTTTTTTCTATTTTAAAATAGAATTTATTTTTTTATTCACAGTTAGAAAAAAAATCTTGAAATTTATGACAAATACAAATTTATGTTTTAATTAATTAAGCATATCTTTCTCAATTACTAAATATACCAGAGAGATTTTATATGTAACAGATGACCAGAGAATCTGCAGCCCCGGCCCTAAGCCCGGGCTGGTCCTGAAAATTTTTTTAAAAAAAATATCTGGGTCGGGCCGTAATTTTAAAACCAAATATTTGTAATCGCCATTATTAGCTCTAAAAATCAAAAATAAATAAAATATATTTTAAAAAAATCCGGGCCTGGCTGAAAAATTTTTTTAAAAGAAATCCGAGCCGGACCATACAAATGGTATCTCTGCAGGTCTCTGATCGGCACATTATTTATTATAGGAAAAAAAAAGTATAATTTTTATTATATTATAGTTACAATCATGTGTGTTTACAAGATAAGATAATTTCTCGATAACCACATTTATAAGTTTAACGAAAATAATAGAAATTCGTTTTTTTTATACAAACTAACTGAATATTTATTATTTATTTTGATTGATATTGCACATTGCGTTATGAATATAAATTAAATGGTCGAAAAATTATTTTAAAGTATATTTTCTAAATCTTCATCACTAAAAAAGAATAGCTGATTGATTGATTGCCAATAATTGCGTCTTAGATAAAATATAAAGTCCTTCGTTGTCGTTTTGTGGTCGGAAAACAAATTAACGCTTTGTTATTTTGCAGGTTGGTTTAATAGAGCGGGCGCGTGAATTTTAAAAATTTAACTAAGCGGAATAAGATGGACAGACTTGAAAAATAATAAATTTTTTATTTCATAACATTGCCTATTTTATAAGTTTACGTAAAATAAACTAACTAAATAGCCAATCCAACCAATCAAATTAATTTTTGATTTATTATTATGTCCATTTTTTTTATCTTTCTAATTCATAATAAAAAGCAGTTTAATAATTTTTTGAAAATTAGTCTTAATATATAAATAATAATTAAGTACTATTATGAAATATAAAAGGATTTATTAGGAGAAAAGTTAGAGCAAAAATGCGTTCCATTCAAAGTATAGCCTATTCGGGACGGGATGGACGCTTGCCCTTCACTACAGACTTGAAATTCAACCTTTAGCTATTATATCCAAAATTAAAAAATATTTGAAGGATTCTTATGATTCTTTATTGTTGTTGATTGCATATTGGAAACATTAAATTTTTTTTAAAAACATAATATAAATTAGGATATTTAACGATGCTCTGCGAAAAAAATAAATATTTTTTTTGCAAAGTAATAATTTATTTTTTTTATGATATTATATACCAAATAAAAAAATCTTAATTTCGCAAATAATAATTCTTTTAATTTAAAAAAAATAAAATTAGAAAATTATTTCAAAAAAATATATGTTCTTCTTTCCTTTTAATGTAGGTTTTCCAGGTTTCCCCGGGTAAGCTAGTTTCAACTTCTCCATTTTTTTCGTTATCCTAAGTATCGCTATGTGTGGGATCCATTTTCCTCATATGTCCTTTATCAATTTTATCCAGGTCATCTTGGGTCTTTCTCGTGCTCTTGATTGCTACATTAATAAACAATTTTATTTTTTTTTAACACTTGTATATATTTAATAATTATATTACTACTTAAAGCGTCTCCATTTTTTTCTATAAATCTTTTGATCTATCAAACAAAACTGTCGCAATGGCTGATAATTTAGAATCTATGTACGATCACATAGATTTTAACCCCCCTACAAATTCTTCACAATCGGGAAAGAGCGATATATCCATCGATGATCACTTAAAAACGAATAACATCGAGATCGAGCATGATTGGAACAAAATGTCCAAGAGCCAGATAAACGCCGGCTATAAAGACGGTTACCAATCCAGTTATGATAGAGCGCATCTAGATGCATTCGACATTTCATTTTTCATCTCCACCTCATACCATTTTGTGCTTAACAAATACCGCGCGCAGATCCTCTTCTTTTATCAACATCATGGTTTTATGATTTTAATTAGATATACATAGTATTTAAACTTTTCCAATTTATTTATAATCTAAGGCTACGACCTAAATATATTTTAAAAAAACCTCAAAATTTTTATTATGAAACATGCTCAAAATCTTTTTTGTAAATTTTGAAATTTAAAATTACCAAATTTTTTACTTCCTATTTAATCTAAATACTTCCCATTTTGATTAATATACCTGCACATTTATAAACTTTATGCGAAAATTTATTAAATTTTATTACTTTCTAAACTTTTAAAAATTAATAAACTTTCATAAATTAGAAAAAATGATTTTGACCACTTTTTAATTTTTTCTTTAAAAATAGCTTATTTTTCTTTTTTCGTTAAATTTACAGTTTATTATATTTTTAATTTTTTTAGGTCTTAGCCTAAAAAAAACTGTTAAAAAACAAATAATTAAATCATAAAAATCTTTTTCGGGCTGGGTCGGACAACTTGTACAAAATTCACGGAACAAAAATAATTACGACCTGAGCCGACTTCTATTTGAGAAACAAAAACTTTTATTTGTTACTCACCTTTCATTTTATTTCGTGTTCTAATCACTCACCCGATTTAAAGACAATTTTATTTTTATAAAAAAAATTGATAAAATTTTTCCGCTAGATATGTGTTTTATTTGGATTTTTTTTTGATCATTAAGTAGGAAAAATGTATAATTCCTTTAGTGTTTGTTAAACGACTCGATTTAGCCAATTTTTAATTAAGATTTTAGCCAAATTAGTATTAAGCAAGCCTTGAGATTTCGTTAATAGATGTCCAAACCTTTCTGCCATCTATGAGCTAAATCTCCAGGCTTGCATAATATTTTTTGGTTAAAATATTTGGCAAGCCGTTTTTAAAAATTGAGCTATTTAACATTCTTTTCCTTGTGGGAAAATTTTAGAGAACTCGAATTAATAATAACAGATCTGTAACACAATAGAACATTATTTCAGCTAAAATATATAAACCTTTTATTGTATTTTTTTTAATATGGGTTTATATCTAGTGATGATCGCTCCATTTGAGCCGATTTTTAAAAACGGCTTAATTTTATACAGGAAAATATTACGCAAACCTGAAGACTTTTATTATATATGGCGCAAAGGTTTTGATATCAATTGGCGTTTGGCTAAAATATTAAGTTAGCTATATTTAAAATCTGCTCAAAAGGAGCAATTTTGCATCACTACTTATACCCTAAAATAATCATAAGGCGCTATATTAGTTTTCTTTTAAAATTTTCATGAGTATTTTTTTTTTTTAAATGTTTAAATAAATTTATATATTTTATTTTTCGTATTTTTGTATTAATTTTTATAACTTATATTATAATAAATATTATGTTGTTCAAATTTTCGTATTTTTGTATTAATTTTTATTAACTTATATTATAATAAATATTATATGTTATTCAATTTTTTGTTATTTGTAAATATCAAAATATATAGACACATTCAACTCGAATTTACCAGTTAATATGAATAACTCGAATAATAATCGTTTAGATATTTTGAAAATGAAATTGGAGGAAGCGAAACATCTTTTAGAAAAAATGGACCAAATCGAAGAAAGTTACAAGAACGGGGCCGCATTTCAATACTTTAAAAATACTGATATATTAAACGACGCTAGTAAAAAGATTTTTTTTATCCAAAATTTTTTTTTACCTGTTTAAGAATCATGTTATTAAAATACCTATAATACCTCGGTTAATTAGTCAGTTGTTATAATGTTTAATTAATTTGGAACCTATTTGGGCAGAAATCAATCTACATGTTCATGATAAAGTAAATGAATCCAGTTATTTCTATAATATTTTAAAAAAAATTACAGGTTTTTTTAAAGTATTTCTAATTATTCCATTTGATTTATATAAGTGTCAGTGTTAATCATCGTACAAATTAAAAATATAATAAAATTGGTAAAATTTAATCTGACTAATTTTTTATAATATAAATAGATATTTTGGAGTTTAATAAAGATGACAAAATTCCAATCACATGTCTATCTTCAAACCATTTTATAAATGGCGACCAAAATCCGCAATATCTCTATCATGCTTTTATCGTATCGGTATTAAAGGATTGCGAAAATTTTATGAATTCTATCGATACGACCAATATGCTTTCATGACAAAATCTATATGTATAAAAGGCGCATTTAACACTTATTACATTAGTCAATTATATATTTCATTATTAATAATGATATAAAAATTATTAGATTGTTAAATTTATATAAATAAGATCATATATTGTAAATATAGCATATCTTTATCTATGGTGAATTCCATATCAAATCAACCAAGATTCAACCCGACGCCTTTCAATTTTTCTTATTGCACACTGGTAGTATATACTATAACTAAGAAAAAAATGAAATTTCACCTTCCAACACTGTTTACCCGCTAAGATGTGGCCGTTTAAAGCGCGGAAAAATGATACCTTACAAAAGGCACCTCATTTATTTTCAAATATCTCGAGTAGAAATATAATTTAAATTTTATTAAGTGGCTTAATAATAGTTCTTTAATATGACATAAAAATAAATATGATAGAAATTTGATTAATATCGAAAACCGGATGTACAAAACCGGAAATGGCCATTAAAAAAGGTATTTTTTCAAATATCACACTGCTTTATATTTGTACAAAATCCTAGACTGGGATAAACATGGGTTTAGGAATTATGACTCTTTATATGGATAAAATTGAACAATTTTAACCCAAAATATCATTATATTCAAATTTAATGAATAGTTACGAAATAATGTTAATTTAAAAATTATGTCTAAATGACAGGCTCTTATTTTTTTTATCTTTATCAAAATTTTTGAGAGGTGGCTAGAATAATGAGCTATGTTTAACACTTTAGTTAAATTTGGTCGAAGTTACTTGACAAAATAAATCTAAACATATTTATAACTTTATTTGCATTACATATAATACAATCAAAAATTTATAATTAAAATATATCATATATTATAATCATTTAAAGAATTTGAATAAATTTTGACTTTTGTTTTCGCCTAGGGAAATAAAAACATGGAACTTTGTATTCCAGAAATTCTCTTTGCTCTCAAAAATCTGCTTTCAGGATGACTTTATATGTTAATATATTCGTTATTGCTCACAAATATATAATTTACCCCATAGATATTATTTCTTGCATAGTTAAATAATTCCATTGTTGTCAATATGTGATATTCATATGGGCGTTGCAAGCTTGCTTGAGCTGCTATAATGGCCCATGCAGGGATTTTAATTTGTGCGGTTTCAAAAATGTCACTCTGGGTATCCCAAAATCATTTTCATGATTGTAGAAATTAATGATCTTTTTATTTTTATATTGGTTACTGCTTCTAAATTTTAGTCACTCTATCAAATTTTTCCTTCAAGAATACGATCAATTTTTTAAATAAATAAAATGAACATGCGTTGGGCTTTAAATAATCTAAAATAGCCACTAAATTTATATGTTTATTATGTTGTCCTCTCGGTAATAAATCATAAAAGTGTGGATAGTGGCCTGATTATTAATCCGATTAAATCCTTGTGCATGGTCCCACACTGCAAATGCATAGTTTTCTGAAAAGTCTGCAAACTAAGAATTCGCCAACATTTAAATTGAATTTTAAAAAGTTTCGAATTAAGTGAAGCTATAAACAAGAAATCGAATTGTTTAATTATTCAATTAAATAATCTACAATTCGTCGGTGGATTTCGTCAGTGTTTCGAGGGTAGTTCGATCAACAACTATCCATTGTTTGAATGTTATATAATCTATAGAATTCTCGTCAAAGAATATATTAAGCTATTCTTTTAATTTTAAAGATATGGGGGGAAATTTATTGTCGAATGTGGTAGATTATTTTATGCTAAATAAAGCTCATTATCTTAGCCACCTCTCAAAAATTTTGATAAAGATATAAAAAAAATATGGGCAATTTTTAAATTAACATTATTTCATAACTATCCATTAAATTTAAATATGATGATATTTTGGGTTAAAATTGTTCGATTTTAGCCATATAAAGAGTCATATCTCCTAAACCCATCTTTATCTCAGTCTAGGATTTTGTACAAATATAAAGCAGTGTGATATCTATCTACAGAAGAAAAAAATTGAAAAAAAATACCTTTTTTTTCTAAGGCCATTTTTGGTTTTGTACATCCGGTTTTCGATATTAATCAAATTTCTATCATATTTATTTTTATGTCATATTAAAGAACTATTATTAAGCTACTTAATAAAATTTAAATTATTTTTCTAACATAATTATATCTCAGGATATTTGAAAATAAATGAGGTACATTTTTGACAAAATGTACCATTTCCGCGCTTTAAATGGCCATATCTTAGCGGGTAAACAGTTTTGGAAGGTAAAATTTCATTATTTTCTTAGTCATAGTATATACTACCAGTATAAAAAATTTAAGAAAAATTGAAGGTGGTCGGGTTGAGAATTGACTTTTTTTTGTCGATTTGATATGGAATTAACCATATATATAATAGTGTATATTAACAAGAATTTAAAAGGGTTTTATATTTTATTTTTTAAATCATTATTAGTTTTGGATATTTAACGATATCGCACCATTTAAACATAATAAATTATTGTAGGGTTTTTAATCATATTTTAGATTTTATAATTTATTCGACCCTTTTTTTTGTAATAAAATTAGAAACAAAACGATGAAAATTATTCGAATATTTACATAAGTCTGCGGTTTACAAACACGATATTTTTTTGTCAAAACTACTTCATGAAATCATGATGATAATAAAGAGTAATAAAGTACATTAAATTATTATTGTTGTTAATTATAGGGTAGGAATTTAAAATTTTCACCTAAAGTATAAATGTTAACAGATTATTATAATAAAAAAATAAAAATAACTTATATGGCGCGTAACCAGGCCCCCCATCACAAATTTGCCTCTTCCCGTACATATCCTTATAAATTTTTTTATAAAAATTCCCCTCCTACACTTCCCCCCACCCTCCTCCTTCTAAAAATTAATATAGCACCATAAAAAGTAATTTGAAAGAAAAATTAATAACTTTTTAAAATAACGACTATAATTCTAATTTTTAGAAAATAAGTAAAGCTCCAAAATTATTTTTATTAAAATATAATATAGTCAAAGGCTTAGTGGACCTAGAGACCTCCAATAAAATTTATGGCAGAAAAACTCGCCTAATAGTCCCTCTACCCATAGAAAAATCCTGAATACGCATATGACCTATATAGTATATAGTAATGTAGTATAAAGAAAATGATATTTTAAGTATTATTAATTTCGATATAATAATAATGAAAATAATCTAACATAATATAGCAATATATTAAATTGCATAGTCAGTGCCATAACGAAATTTTATTGCTTTCACCCTCGCAAAAACAAAAAATATTCCTGACTAGGCCTCTATATTTGCAAAAATTTGTCTTGGGATATCTGTGTCATGGGGTATCAATAATGATATAAGTAAAAATTGATTGCTACATATAGCAGTCACTTTTACCATTGGGGGGAGGGGAGGTACGACGTAAGATCGCCAACTAAAATGTGGTATGTTTAATTTCCTCTTTTTGATTTCGTTTTTTTGTTAATTATAATTATTTTTGTTAATTTTGATTTGGTAGGATGTAGGAAAAGTTAAGGAGGTATAAGTTGTATCATCGTTGGCTTGAAAGACTGGGATAGGCTTCTGCATACATGAAAAGTGAAAGGGGATTATTCTCATATTAATTTGATTTAAATTAAATAACAATAGACATCATCTTGCATAACTATTAAGTTATATTTTATCTAGATATATTGAACTCGACCATTAATTTTATTGAACTCCACATGATAAAATATGAAAGGAATTATTTAAAATTTTGATTAAGGAATCTTTATCTCCTAAACAAACATATATACACTATTAGATTAACCATAGATCGGGTAAAAATAATTACGGCTTGGTCGGAGATATCGTATTTCTAAGGACATTTTAGGTCAGGCCAAATGGCACCTACTTTTATTTGACCCCGACGTGTCTATTTGAGAGAAATTCCTAAAGGAGACATGCAGATTTGACCCGCCCTTGCTTCAAAAATACTTGTTTCTCTCTACCCTGGGTTACGAAGTATCAGGGATATTTGTGTTTTTTTAAAACTTTTCGAAAAGAACTTGTATCCGAGATCCAGTTTTTTTAAATATCGGATCTTAATCAACTTTGCATTAAAAAGAGATAAAAACTTTAAAACAATTAATTTAAAATAATATTATTTTAAAATTTAACTGAAAAATGAAACCTGAGTTTAGATATTATAAGATAGGCTAATTAATTTAAACACGACTAATTTTTAATAAAGTTCAAATCAATGTAATTATAGTTTTTACCTTTTTTCTTGGTTTATTCCTTTTTTATGCTCTTCCTTCTTATAAATTTTGGTAATCAAAAAAAAAGAATAATAATAATAAATTTGGAAGAAAAATAATAATGATTAATTTGTTTTTCCCTCTTTTTTTATCTATTAAAAATAAATATAAATTGATTAATAATATAATTAATTTTTTAAAAAATTACATAAACAATTTATATAATTACTTTTTTTTATTTCTTTTACAAATAATAATAATTTTATAAAAGAATAACAACACGAGATAATCAAAAGAAATATTCATCACCAAAAATAAATGAATGAATTTACTATTTAACACAAAAAAACGAATACATGAACTTGATCAAAATCTACATCCAACCATCATTACCCTAAAAATTATCAACCAAGTTATCTTAAAAAATAATTATAGAATTGGATAGTGAAAACCATGATGCTACATTAGAAGAATTATTACAAATATAATTAATATTAATTGGAAAATTCATGAAATCCCCCGACATGAATACATCAATATCTATAATAAAATTACTATAGAATTGTAAGAACTCAACAAATTTATAAGTGGCTGCAAACTTGTCATCTAATTTCGTCCATCATCTAAAAGTAATCAATTTTGCTATTAGAAGTTTGTTAAAATAAATTTTTATAAGCTGATTGATATTAAAATGGATATTATATATTAAAAACCAACTAGAATTGTCACGTTATATAAACTAATTTGTCTACACACCCTATGATATGTCATTGATCACACCATCTTTTATAACAAATTTGTCAATTTTCTACCACAAATATTTTCCGTAAATTTATATTATAGCATATTTTATTTAAAAATAAAGCTTGATAAACTTTTATTTTGACTATACAAAGTTATAAAATGTGTTTGACTGAATCATAGATACTTTAAAAATAATACAATATTATTGAAAATTTACCTAAGTATCTAGCATCTTGTATCTTAAATAAAAAATTCAAAAATTATCTGTATCCGGATACATATTTCTCATAATTTGCCTCTACACTCCCATACTCCAAATTCTACTCCCTAACCACCATACTCAAAGATTTTTGGAGGTTATTGGCATACCTCACCCCCTTTCCTCCTGTTTATGTTCACAGCCATTATATATTATAACATCAATATATAATTTCAGTTGTTTCTAACTAGATGTAAATTCGAATTATATTTAATCAAAAAAAACTTATAGGATTTTTTGAAAAATATAAACAACCAATAAAAAATAGGGAAAATATTTATTCAATATAAATTATTTGGACCATTTTACGGTTAACTTAACCAAAATTCAATTTATGTTTTTAGCAAACATAAAGTTGAATTCTAATGTCTGATGAAGATGATAAAGAAACTCATTTTAATAATACAGTCCGCGAAAATATCGTAACTTTAAAAATAATACCTTCCAGTTATGAATATACATATAGGTGTGCTTGATATTTTTTATTATTTTTTATTTAATTTCTTCATTAATATTGACCTTGTTTTGGCAAAATCAAGATCAGGGGTTATCATATTCAGGTAAAAATTATAAAATCATAATTTTATGATATTTTTATTTAGATTTAGAAGATATATTTATATCAAAAATCACGTAATTTATTTATAATGATATATATATTGTTTCTCAGTTTTGCTATTACTGCATTTTCCTTAGCGATTTGTTTTGCATCATCACTTATGCTTCCTATATCAATTATTAGCAATGAAATACTTATTATTTATCCAGACAATGAAGATCTTAATTGGTTGAATACTTCATTAATTCACAGTTTAATAAAAATAATTAATTTGACTTATTTAAATACTATAGGTCTATGGAATTATATATTCCTCCTATCTAATTGTTGTTTATTTGTATTATTGCCATTTGCCTACTTTTTTGCAGAATCTATAGGATTTACTGGAATACGCAAGGTTATTTTTTCTCTATATAATATATATATGTATGCACATATATAGGGCATTTTAAATAGGCTTTATGAAACTAGTATTGTGTCCTTGTTATATTATATTATGATTGTTGGCATTTCATGGCTCATATTTTCTACAATTCAGAATGAAGACACCAGTCATTCTAATAAATTATGGATATGTATATAATTATATTAACTAAATTAAATTTATTTAATAAAAAAATTTTATATAAATTATACTCATTCATATTATAAATCTTTATTAATGAAATGCATAAATTTAATATATTTTAGATAACCATTTATAATTCTACTTTTAGATATATGGACATATTATGTGCCATTTTCCTATCATTGTATATCTTTGTTTGGGGTTTTGACTCTATTAGGTTAAATTTATTCATATATGTTTAATATCAAAAATAAGATTTTCCAGTAAAAAGTGAGGAAGATGGATAAATAAGCAACATATACATATAATTTGATTCTTCTTTTATTTTATAATTATCTATATATAATATTTATATTATATAACAAAAGTTTGCACTCCAATCGGTTTCACAAGAATATTTGATGTCATTGGTGATTTAGTCATTAAACCAAAGGTAACCCTTTTATAATGATTAATAAAATTTTCTGGCATTGTAAGGAGGGCTTGATCCCTCTTTAGAACCAAAATTAATAAAATAAAGATCAAGAATAATAAATTTTATGTAATTTGGGGTGTTGTTTTGTATAGAAATATTCTTTACAGTTATAAAATGTTTTATTATCAGTCAGTTTGGGTAAGAAGTTAAGGTATTGGTATTATTGCATTTCTGATTATGGAAGCCCCTCTAAGCAAATTATAATTTATTCCTCCAAAAATTTTTAACAATTATTGTTGTCAATGAATTTATGGATATATTTCTTTTTTGACACAAATTTTAGAAGCTGGTAAAAATATATATTAAATTTTAAACATAACTTTTTTTTCTTATTATTATTTAGTCATTCCATGATTTAGAAGAGGAGAGAAATTTAATTCAAATGGAAGAAATACACCTAAAGCAAAGAATGATTTTAGCTAAAAGTTTCAATTGATTATTTTTAAAAATTTGCTTATTAAAATAAAAGGTAAAGATTTAATATAAAAAACAAGGCATTTTTTCTGTTAAAGAAATAAATACTAAATAAAGGCAACCTGGAAAAACATATTTTACTCAACTTGGCATTAGAGGTCTGCAAAGTGATTTTTTGTGACCTGATCCCAAATTATAAAAAAAATTTTGTCCAATCCTGACCCAAGCCTGAATTCAATTTTTTTTTTAATTTTAGTGTGAATATTATAATATCCAAATAACAATTAAATATTATGTGTATTACCTTAAATAAAAGTTTATTTGATTGCCATAATGTAAACAATGTTTATATTAGTTGCATTTTATTTAAATTGGAAACATATACCTTTTATTTAGTTTAAATATTAAAAAAGTTGAAATACAATCAAATTTAAAAATTATTGCAACTATATAAAAATAATGTGCATGATATATTGAACATATTATAAAGATATATCATTATCAATAGTATCACATAGTTAATAATTGTGTTATATAAATAATGAGCAGTTGTCATGCTTAAACAAGTTCTATCTTCAAAGGTCCTGCCAACCACTGATAGGGCTCATACAGGAAAAATTTTAGTGCATGTGTCAAGCATTGGGTCTTGCCTACCTCTATTACCTATTCTAGTAGATATCATATCTATAAATAAATAATATTGGTTGATATCACATCAGTATTGCCAAAAAAAGAGGTAATAGTGCATCTCTGATTTTTTATAATAATTTTGAAATTTCAATTTTATGTAAAATTAGAGAATTGATTCAACCAGAGATATGCAAAGCCAGAACCCAGCCAATATAAGAGCTCAAGCAATTTTTGCGCCAGTCTAGACCATATATAAAAAATTAAGCAGGACCTAACAAACTATTTTTTATAATCTAATAGTCCAGCCTGGGCATTAAAATTTTCATATATTATTTTGAATTTAAAACTAATATTTTGATTTCATTATTGAAAATAAATTATTATGCCTTTTGTATTTTAAGAGCTGTCTACCCAAAATACTAAATCTATAAAAGCAAATTCACAAAAAATATTAAACAAGTTATTTATGATATGATGAAAACAAATATCAAACACTGTTGATTTTTAAAAAGGTTAATGTAGAAATAGATAGCCATAATATAAGAGCCCTTAATTGATATTAGACAAAAAAAGATATAGATATTAAAAAAGTCATGGTCAGAAATTTGTATAAAAAAGTTTAACGGGTTGCAGACTTTTCCTAAATTTTCAAAGTACCAAGCCTGACTTTTCATAAGATTTTGAGGGGTGGGCAGGCTAATTTTTTTAAAATTTAGTGGACTTGGCAACTTATGCTAAAATTCTTGCCTAACCAGGGTTTGCGAATTTCTAACCATAACAACTTTTTTGAAAAATATTTTATTATAAAAAATGAAATTGGATTCAATTGTATATTAAAAAAAATTTTATTTTAAAAACTAATTTTATTTTTTTTGCATAAAAACGGGCCAAAACTTGAGTGTGTTCCAGTGTCCCAGATTTGCACGTCATACATAGAATTGATATTATTCATGGTTATTTGATTTCTGGCCTGGCTTAGTCAGCACAAATAATAACTGACATCTTTTTTAATTGAATTTTTCTAAACTACTGTTTATTTCCAAACTTATAGAATTAATAAGAATTATTTAAATGGGTAGGGATAATTGTTGATAGAGGGATCCTGCATCTATTAAATATACATGGAATTATTACAAAAAAAATTGATTATTTTGTTGAAAACTTATGAAAGACTCTTAAAGGAAAATATGCACATGTTCAATCATTGTACTATATTAATATTTTTGTTCAGAGTTCCGATATTAGAACTGCCTTATATTTTTTATTAAAATCTTGGCAGTTTTCCGGGTTTAGCCGGGTAAAGTTTTCTATCTGAGCCCTCTAAATAATTATGATCTTGGCCATCGCGGTATATAATATACATTATTCTCATTTCACCCATTATCACTTTCATCCACATCGTCTTGGGATTTCATCGTGACCTTGATCCTATTACATTCTTCACCCAATCATTTTTCGATCAACACCAAATCTCTCTTTCATCTCATCACTCCCTACTTGTTGACTGATCTTTTTTAAGACGTGATTTATAATATAAATAAAATAGATATCTGGGAAATCTATATTTAAAAAAATTAAGTGTGAGTTTAATATATATTAAATAAAAAAATTTACATTCGACAATGTCCAAAACCATTTAAAAAATACAGAGTTTTTAAAACCTTCACAAATTTTAAAATTTTAATGAAATCTTGTTATAATTTATAAAATTTTCTCGAATTATGTTTTGGACAACTTTTATTTTTATATTTAAAATAGTTTATATATTTATTTTCATTGTGAATATAATTTTTTGATGTTTTGGACTAAATCCTATGTTTCTTATCTTTTTATTTTTTACATCATAAAATTGTTAATGTTCCTTTTTATTACCAATTCATTCTCCTTTCTAGATTACATTATCCCTGAAATTTCATTGAATTTTTTTTTCCTAAATTTTTACAATAAAAAAAGATATGTTTTTATAAAAAGTCTCATATTTCTGAAAAATAAATGGGAAATCATGTATTCACGAATTCTATAATATTTTTTATATATAAGAACTCTGATTATCAATCTTTCTATATATTTATTTTAATTTCTAAAGATGAGAAAGACCATTTTAAAAGTGACAATGAATCGCAAATATACGTTCAAATTCGCTCGACTGTCATCATATGTAATGGCCATCATTCCAACTTTAACAAGAAAATTATTAACAACCCCCAACATTTCCCCCTTTATAAAAACGAATATCCTACGAATAAGCTCACGGAAGGAAGTTACGATGAGATTCGTACTAAAATACAGGATTTGGATAGTTCTATACGAGCCTCTTTTTGGAAGCGGAATGTCAACTATCCTTTCTTCGTTTTATTTCTGTTCATTTTGACGGTTTCATTTTTGTTTTAAATTTTCTTTGGTTGCTATTTGTTTAAATGAAGCTTTACAGGTATAACTTTTTAGTTAAAAATAATTATTTTTAACATTTAAACGGCAAAGATGATGAGGAAACGAAGGGAGGTACAAATTAAACCTAGAATTGAGACAAAACAGTTATGTATAATTGCAATTTTTTCCTGCCAAAAAAAATATACTATAACTCTTATTAAAAAAAAATATTTTACATAAACTACTTTACAGGCCTTGTCAGTTGTCATAGTGGGTGTACACTGTTTAGAATTGCTGGTGGATGAAAAAGCATTGCCTTCGTTTTCAAAAGTTAAATTTTATACATTATATATCTTATTTCTAGCTAAAGTTATATTTTGAAACAGATACATCATCTCAGCACACTACAATTCGTGCATACGATTCGACTATTTTTAAAATATCTCATTTCAGAGATGCATTCAATGCAACTTATCATTTATAATTAATTTATAAAAAAAAAGAAATTAAATTTAAAAAATGAAAGAAATGGGGAAAAATTTTTTTTTTTTAATTTAAGATCCTTAATTATCCTTGGCTCTCCACCACTGGTATTAAGTTAAAATCAAAACTTATCAATGCCATGGTATTCGTTACCGACACTGATGCATCTCTGATTTATTCGAATTAAATTTAAATCATTATCATGAAAATTATTATAATTTAAATTATAATCATGAAACTATAGTTATTCTGAAAAAAAATTATTTATATATTTTTTTGTTTTTTATAAAATAAAATTCCTTGGCCTCGTTTATAGAGAGCTTAGGTTGTGGCTGGTAATGAATTCCATATTAAAATATTTTCCAGAATCACAAGAAATTATAATAGATAGGTTGGAAGGTTCTATAGACATGTGAGTGTCAGTTAAAATTTTATGAAATAGAGTTGATTGATATTGACATTTACTTTTTATATAAGTTTAATTTTAAATTATTTACAATGGTAAAATTCTATAAAAACAAGCATATCAATATAGGAAATACATCTTTATCGTTTATTGGACCACTCGGTGGCTTCTTGGACGTCATTATAATTTTGTAAATATTTTATTTTACGATTTATACACAATATAATCAATATAATCAATGAGAGCTCTATTTTTCTTATGAATACTCATAAATAATATATAGATACTTTATTTGAATATTTATTTTTCAAACTGCATTTTATAAGTAACAAAGGAAGGAATATAATTAAATTTGAGATTTAGCAGATATTTTTTCCCAGCATGATCTAAAAAATTTTATTACTAGTTGGTACTAAAAATTCGATAGAGATATATTTAAGCAATATAATAAATATAAATGTTAGATAGTATTCAATTTTTTATTTATATCGATATAGGTTTGGCATAAATCCTAATTTTTTTTTGATTCTGGACAGGTATATCCGGATCATCCATCCGATCAAATTCTGTATGCGGCATCTCTTCTTTAATTTTACGGGATTTGGGCTAATTTACAAGGAACTTAATACAATAATTTTTTTTTAAATGATCAGAGTGAAATTAGATCACTCGGAATCTCATTTAAAATTATTTTTAGAGAAAATTTCCACATACCAAACAAAATATTTTTTTGTTTTAGAGGGTTTCATTGCTTATTAAGTTTGAATCCGAAATCAGAAGTTGGAACCTGGTTAAATCTAGGAGAACTAGAACCACATTTTATGGTCGATATTGATTCTACCTATAGAGCCAACATATCCAAAAAAAATAAGCCTGGGATGGAAAATCCTATAAAGTTGGAAATTAGGGATTTCTAGAATAATAGCAAAAAATAATTAATCATTCATAATTTAATTTATGAAATTGGTAAAAATAAACCTTAATTTATTTTTTATCGGGTTTTAAAATTGGTAAAAGTAAATTGTTATTTTTTTATCAAAGTCTTCATTAAATCTTTAAAATAGTTACCTGAAAATAGCCAGTTTTATTGGTTTCGTTGGTCTTCCCTGTTTCGCACGTATTAAACCTAAATTAAAAGGAACATCGCTCACCAAAATAATCCTCAATTGCGGCATTTTCCTCATACTAACCTCAGCGTTTCCCGTGTTCTCTCGAACTATAGGTTTAATATCTAAAATATTATTATTTCTGTAATAGAAGATTGTGAAATATGATTATGAATTATTTTTTTTAAAAAGAGAAAGATAATTAATATATAATTCCTATATTATTAAGTGATATAAAGTATACTTTACTGAAAAGGTAACGTTTTTTTTGTTAAATTTTAATAAATCTAACGTTAACAAGTTACTTTTTTAAACAACGTTACTTCTTACTTTCAAAAAAATATTTTAGATTTTAATAATTTCTATATTTTTAAAACTATCTCGATATAATTATATATATTATACACTATCACTCACTAGTTTTTAGTAATTTATTTTACATTTATAAATATAATTTATTTTAAATATTTTCTCCTGTATACTATTATAAAGTATAAATAATAATTTAAAAAGAATAATAGATTTTGAGAAATATTTTAAAATAAAAAATATTCCTTCCTTTTAATTGCTAACAAGGAGTGTAAAATTACGAATAAAATAATGCAACACTGAATTGATTGCTATCACCATATTAGTTCATATCCGGGATCACAAATTCTTGCATATACTTTATTATGGATTTTTGTGCTACCTTAGAGTTTGTCATACAAAATCGATACTTTAAAAAAAATATGTCATCACAAAATGGTTACTTTTCTTTAAAAAAGCGGACATTTTAGTTGGAACGTTCTCATAATCTTGTCACAAAAAAATATGACGCATAACTTAAATTGACTCCCTTTTTCTATCTTTTAATGAAAATTTTAAATAAAGTATTTTTTTACCAAAAACATCACTAGGTATTACGAAATTCGATCTCATAGGCAATTTGGGAAAACTCCAATGGTTAGGCAACTTTTACCTGGTCCTATTTTACAATTTAGTCTTCGTACTCGCCACCGCCTGGTGTCTAACCAATAAATTCACTCGCGCCATGAAATTAGAACTTTACAATAGATTTTTATCATTCGTTCCTTACCCGCTTCCCACTTTTTCCTCTTGTAATGTTCATTCCCTCATTCTCTTCGCATCAGCCAAAATTATTAAATTTCGAATAATTACGCATTTGAATTAAAAATGCTGATATATATTTTTTAAATAATATTTTATCTTTGACATTCGATGAATCAAAATTTTCTTTAAATACAATTTTAATTATGTAAAATTTACATTTTTATCGAGTCATCTCCGATTTTTTTTGCATTAGCTCATTTCTAATAAATATGCTACTAATAAAATTGCAATAATATATAATTTTGTATTATAAACTATCCAAATGATTTATATTTTTTTGAAAATAAGATGGAAATTTGCACGCTATTGTTTAAAGAAAAAAAATCAAAACATATTTTTATGCAATTATAATTACACGAAATTTCCTTATTTATTTATTTATATTATAATTAACACTGTCATTGACATTCAAATTTATTTTTGAGTTATTTATTGCAGTCACAATTAATTATTTAGATGGATATAGTTCTCTGATTTTTTTTTTAAATATGCAAATTGGGAAAACTCATTGATTCAAATCATTAAAAACATTATTTAATATTGCTTCCTGATTTATGTATTATTATTTACCATATATCTCGACCCCTTATTAAATTCAGTTAATTAAAAATCATGGATGCTAGTATTTATGTAAATCTATGTTCATGTATTGTAAAAAATATATTTAGTTTACATAAATGTATATTAAAAGTAATTTTAAAAAGTTCCAAGATTTTTGGTAAATTAATATGAAAGAAATATTAGTATATTTTTTTATATTTATCGCCTTAGAGTCATATTATTCCGCACCAAATAATATTTCCGACTTATGCACATCTGGTTGACTGACATGCAAATTAACTTACTGGTTATAAACATACTAACAAATTTATAGCCTCTAACAAGGTATATATGCCAGGTTTGAAACCTTTTTTTTTATTATTCGCCTTATGATTTAATTAGTAATTATTTAAGATTACACAATTGTAATTAGTAAATCTTATTCGCAAATACTGTTAAGTATTAGAGACCAATTTTTTCTAGTCAACCAGACCTATAGGTGAAAAAGTATGTTCCCAAAAAAATGAAGAAAATTGTAAAATAATACACATTTATAACATTTTATGGATATCAATGATTAATAATATTTCGCCGGTGGTGGGCATAGTCACAATCAAATTCCTATTAAATATTAAAAAAACGCCTTGACAATTTGGGTAAATTTTGGTTCTAACAGTGCCGAAATTAGGCAGATTTTACTGTATTTTATTTTCCAAATGTATTTTATACAATCCGTTTCATTAAAAATACTAATCTTTTCCCTCAAATCCAATATTTGTTTAAAAGAATAACTTAATTATAAGCTAGATCGGAACTTCTAAAAACATACTTAAATCCTAGGAAATTTTTTAAATGAATGCAATTTATTTAAGATTGAGCAGGTGAAGTAAGGATAACGATTAACGGTTAGAGATATGGATTAGGGTTAATTAAAGATTTGCTAGGTATGGGTTGGCATTAAGATATATTAAAAATGCTGACGAATCGTGTAACTATGGTCATGGGAAGAAGATAACCATTCTAATATTTCCTACGCAGCTAAAACTATCTTTTTCAAAATTTAATTCCTCCAAGCTCAATTCTTAACCTAATATTTTTGAAAATGATATTCGATAAAAATTTACAAACCGTCCGCTATACAAATATTAATATTTATTAAAGCATCACAGATTTTTCAGGACCCTTCAATAGATATAAAACTGTTATTGAACCCGGAAAAGGATAAAAACGAATATATAGAAATATACTCTTTTTTTTATCCCTAAAGTCTCTTTTGCGAAATTAAGTGCCATATTTCATGAATTTTTTTTTCAAGCCTGTCTAAAGAAGGGTGTTAAAAAGATGCATTTAATAATCAGATTTGTTCGTAAATCTAAATATTTTGTTTTATTAATTTATAATTTAGGGAAAATTTTTTTAAAAAGGAGCGGGTTAAAGATGGGTAGAAGAGTTAAAAATATTTTTAAAACAATTGATGGGCGGGCGGGTGAATTTGAAAGAATTAGCTTATATTTACCAAAAATTAATATTTTTATTTTATATATAAATTAAATAATGAACCAAACACCCAAGTTAAATAAATTTTTTGGACAAAGTTTTTATATAAATGAGCGGGCGGGTAATTTTTTTCAAAACTACAGACTGGCTGCCATTTGAGTTAACTCTCCCCCCCCCCTCATTCCAGACCTCTAAGCTTTACATCCTCGCTGCCGAAACAGAATTGATGAACTTATGCTTTATTATGTGCAATTATATTGTTCGGTATAGCTCATCCTAGATATCGTCTCCTTTGAATCGAAATGAGGTACAACTAAACATATATTGGGAAATATGATGAAAAAAACATTACCAAATATTAGAATTATTACTATATCTTTTTATGTCTTATAAAGATAAATGCACATGAATTTATATAAGTGAATTTAAGGGATGGGCAGGTTAAACTACAAAAAATAAATACCTTTATTTACAGAAAATATGCAATCATATAAGTTTCCTTTGCACATAGAAAAATAGGTAACGTACCATTACTTAGAAATATGTGAATTGCTCTGCTCTTTATTATATAATTCAAATAAGAATAAAATGATATGCGGAAATAAATAAATAATTATTAAATGACGTCCATCAATTTGATCCAGGCATATTCAATTTTTTACTAAATTTTTTAGCCAGACCCGAGATAATTTTTATATTCTAGATTTGAGCCCGGTCCAAAATATTTGATGAAAAAAAAATATATAAAAAACGATTTTTATAAGAGAAATAAATTACAAATATTAATCGATATGTCATCACTACAGATAAATTTTAATATTTTTTAAATTTATTTTTAGGCCTGAGCCAATTTTAAAATAGTTAGGTTCGAGCAAGAGCCATGCCGGACCAAATAGTTGGGCTCTACCATCAACTCCTAATTTGATTTTTTAGAAAGAATGTTTTTTGGAAATCTAATTTCTATCTGTTTTATGATAAAATTAGTTGAAGAAATGTCGTCATCAAGGTTTTTATTTTGATAAGTGTTGCGACTCCTATATTTCATTCATCTTTTTAAAAGGTCTATTAAGGGGATATATATAAATATAATAAACTGAAGCAGAAACAAGTTTATTAATTATTATTTCGTATTAATAAACAAAGAGAGAATACAATTTCAAGTCATTCCGATTAAATTGGTCTAACAATTTTAAGAAGATTTCAAATAAAGGCTCAAATGTATAAAATGAATGAGAAAATAATTATAGAAGTTATGCAACATATCGCCTTTTTCGTTATGCATAGTAATCATAGGATATTCTTTCTCAATGTATGAAGCTCTATGGTGACCTGTAATAAAAATTTTAAATATTTATTCAAAAAACATGTCTTGTTTGTAAATTTCTTTCTATCCTGTTTTATTTTTATCCAATAATAAATCATCATTCATTCACAATCATTTTCATGTGTGTTTGTGTATGTCATTATATAGGCGCTTAATCACTTTTAAATTGTACTTATTTCAATGATAATTATTTTATTTATTATGGTTCAATCACAATATTATTATTATTATAATATAACCAGTTATTTAAAACCGAGGTGAATATTTTAGAACTGAAGAAAATACTGAGATTACAACAATTTTGTAAGCCAATAAATTAACCGTATAAGGTTACGTATAATCACAGGTGATCCAAAAGTAGGCTTTTACCTTCAACAAGGAATTTCAATTAAAATTTGTCAATCCAACTGCATATCCATACATGGGTCATTAACCCCAGCCGACCATATATATTATTTTAAATTATTTTTTTAATTTCTCTTCTTATAATTATAAATTTTTATATAGATATAGTTTGTCAATTATAATTTAATATTCTTTTAAATAGTATTTTCATCATTGTTTTGTTTTAATTATATGAATGTGCATTGAAGTTTTTTAAAAATGAAAGTGATAATATAAATTTTATTATCTTAAATGAATATTTGATTTGATGCTATTTCTTAGCATACAGGAGCTACCTTTTCTTGGGGTTCATTCAACATGCTGCAAAAGATGAAAACATAATTTATTCTTCTGGACTGCAATGTTTCATGCACCATCCAAAAAGATCCTGGATTAAATAAAATTATGAAATACCCAAAAATGCCGAATATACATCATCCTATCTAGGGGTGGGACTAATACCAATATAATATTGGTTTACAATACCAATACCAATATAAACCAATATATATTTAAATATTGGTATTGCTTTTACAACCAATACCAATACCAATTACCTAAATATATTGGTTTTGATATATTGTTTAAATACAATTTTAACTAATACCAATATTAAAAATAACATAATTATTTGGGTTTATCGTGGATAATTATATCGTGGTATTTTTTTTACTTTCATTGCAAAAACTGAATACATCTGTTATTTCTTCCAAATACTACTGTGATATCAATATTTCTGTTATTTATAATTATAGTTTATTTTTATTATGGAAGTAAATTTTTTATATGATATCTATCAATTTTATCTATTTATTTAGGATATTGTAAATAATAAATGTAAGGACTTAATTTTAACTATTTTATTTACTATCTTTTTCATCTAAAAACATTATATATATATAAAATTTACAAGTTAATTGAACAACTTAAATAGTTAATATAAAAAATAAATAATATTCAAATTTAAATCAATCAACATATAAAATAAATAATATTCAAATTTAAATCAATCAACATTCCCCCTCTTCTATAAATAACGAAGCTTCTTCTCAGCAGTCATCGAGAGCTTGTTGTCCTAGAAGTTTTTCCTGTTTCGATTGTACTCGGTTTCATATTGGTTAACGCATAAGTCTCAAATGTTTTCGTAGGCTTGATTCTATCACGTAGGTTTGATAAAATCGTTTATTAGAGTTGCGTGAGTTTGTACGTTTTTTTGTAGGCTTGAATCAATCGCGTAGGTTTGATAAAATCGTTGAACGTTATCGTTGGTTTGATATCCTTATCGTATGTTGTTCACATTTCTCAAAATTGTTATTATCATTAATCCAGTTGAATATTGGAATTTGGAATAAATCGGAATATATAATTTGGAATAGTTGATCAAATCAAATGTATGAATAATATGCACGAATAAAATTTTGAATTTCGGAACAATAAAATATGTAATAAGGAATGATAATTTATGGAATAAGGAATAAAATCCAGAATAAGGAATGATAAATCATAATGATTATTATATTATTTTTTAGGTGTTAAGTTAATCATAGCGTTTTATACTTTTAGCGTTTTATGCGTTTTATATTTTTAGCGTTTTATATTTTTTGCGTTTTATATTTTTTAGCGTTTCCATATTTAATTAGTAGCGTTTTAATACTTAATTTATTTTTATTTATTTTCAATCTCCGAGGTTAAATATGCAAATACTATGCACATTTCCCTCTCTTAAAAAAAAATTTAAATTTCACACAATATTTTTCTAAAATAATGATGTTTAATTTTTACATAACCTTTTTTCTTCAAAAGCTTTATTTCAAAAACATTTTTTTTCATATTAAGTATTACTTATAAGGGTTATTTAAATCAATCCC